TCATATAATTAGTTGATCTCTCACCTTTCGGCTCCAGTTACGATTCGCCACTTCATATGATGAGGTGATCTCTAATGTTTTAGCTCCAGTTGTGACGAAACACTTCATGTAATAAGTTGGTCTCAAATGTTTCAGCTCCGGTTGTGACACGCCACTTCATATGACTTGGTCTCTTGTTTTTTCAGCTGCAGTTGTGATGCACCAATTCATATAATGTGTTGGTCCCTAATGTTTCTGCTCTGATTGTGATGTGACACTTCATGAGTTAGTTTCGATTGTTTCATCTCAAGTTGTGACACGCCACTTCATATTACATGTAGTTGGTCTCTAATGTTTCAGGTCCAGTGGTGAGCATCACTTCATAAGAGTTGGTCTCAATTTTTTCAGCTCCAGTTGTGATGTGCTACTTCATATAATTAGTTGGTCTCTCACCTTTCAGCTCCAGTTGTGACACGCCACTTCATGTAATACGTTGGTCTCAAATGTTTCAGATGCAGTTGAGACGCATCACTGAGACGAAGTAGATTATTTCCCAGACAGAATCATTTTTTTCAATATCATGGTGTAAACTCGGTGCGACTTGAACTCCATATAGTTCCTGTAGTCACGGTGACTTTGACTGAATGTAAGAATGTCCATGCAAAATAATATTTTAATGAGTTGGTTTTTCAATGCTTCAGATCAATTTGAGAAGCTCCACTTCCTGGTATAATGAGTTGGTCTCTAATGTTTCAGCACTTCATATGATATGGTCTCTAGTTTTTCAGCTGCAGTTGTGACGCACCACTTCATATAATGTGTTGGTCCCTAATGTTTCAGCTCTGATTGTGATGTGACACTACATGAGTTAGTCTCGATTGTTTCATCTTCACGCCACTTCATATTAGTTGGTTGCCAATGTTTCAGGTCCAGTGGTGAGCACCACTTCATATTAGTTTGTCTCTAATGTTTCAGGTCCAGTTGTGACCACCACTTCGTATTAGTTGGTCTCTAATGTTTTCAGGTCCAGTTGTGATGCGCCACTTCATATTAGTTGGTCTCTCATGTTTCAGCTCCAGTTGTGAGCACCACTTCATATTAGTTGGTCTCTAATGTTTCAGCTCCAGTTGGGACGTGCCACTTCATATGATAAGTTGGTCTCCATTGTTTCAACTCCAGTTGTGACGTGCCACTTCATGTAATAAGTTGGTTTCAAATGTTTCAGCTGCAGTTGAGACGCATCACTGAGACGTAGTAGGATACTTTTCCAGACAGAATCATTTTTTTCAATAACATGGTGTAAACTCGGTGCTACTTTAACTCCATATAATTTCTATAGTCACGGTGACTTTGACTGAACGTAAGAATGTCCTTCTACAATTGTAGGTTATACCTAGACGACCAAGGTGCCTGGACATGGGTTACACATTGCAACTGCCCGTGGTCACGTGGGCTCCATTCTGAGAAAGCCATGCTATGCTGGACTTTCTCTATGAAGAATGTGGTCAGTAGATATAGGGGTGTATTTTGCTGGTCCGAATGTTCCGAGTAGTAGGGAAAGTATAACCTTCCGCATTCATGGTGAAGTGTAAGAATGAGTTGCGGGTGCTGTCCACACCCAATGATACCCCAGTTACCGTAGAAAGGCAGTTGTAGTGTCAGCTGAGGTCGTCTGGAAGTCTGATCTCTTGAGCACATATACTGTTAGATATTAAAAAAGCTCTAGCTTCAGGTTAAAATGAAGAGATACGCTGTCTCCTTTTGACCATTAATTTAGCACAATAGTGCAAAGATTTGGAGTTATGGACCTCTATGGTGTGAACCCGTTCTGGCAAGTGATTTTTGTAGAGGTATATAACGATTTGATTTGCATATCACCACCAAAGGATCATTGTGAAAACAAAATCAAGACTCTATATTCTATATTGAAATGTACCACCTCCAGTAACGCTTATTTAGTCTTTTCATGTTTTAGATCCAGTTCAGACGTGCAAAATCCTATTTTAATGAGTTGGTCTTTGAATGCTTCAGATCAATTTGAGAAGCTCCACTTCCTGGTACAATGAGTTGGTCTCTAATTTTTCAGGTCCGGTTGGGAGCACCAGTTCATATTAGTTGGTCTCTCACCTTTCAGCTCTAGTTGTTATTCTCCACTTCATGTAATGAGTTGGTCTCTAACTTTTCAGCTCCAGTTGTGACGCGCCACTTCAAATGATGATGTGATCTCTAACGTTTCAGCTCCAGTTGTGACGAGCAACTTCATATGATAAGTAGGTCTCTAATGTTTCAGGTCCAGTTGTGACGCCGCAAAACTTCATATAATGAGTTGGTCTCTAATGTTTCAGCAACGATTGTGATGTGACACTTCATGAGTCTCGATTGTTTCATCTCCAGCTGTGACACGCCACTTCATATTAGTTGGTCTCTTATGTTTTAGGTCCAGTTGTGAGCACCTCTTCATATTAGTTGGTCTCTTACGTTTCAGGTCCAGTTGTGAGCACCACTTCATATTAGTTGGTCTCTTATGTTTCAGGTTCAGTTGTGAGCACCACTTCATATTAGTTGGTCTCTTATGTTTCAGGTCCAGTTGTGAGCACCTCTTCATATTAGTTGGTCTCTTACGTTTCAGGTCCAGTTGTGAGCACCTCTTCATATTAGTTGGTCACTTACGTTTCAGGTCCAGTTGTGAGCACCTCTTCATATTAGTTGGTCTCTTATGTTTCAGGTCCAGTTGTGAGCACCACTTCATATTAGTTGGTCTCTTATGTTTCAGGTCCAGTTGTGAGCACCTCTTCATATTAGTTGGTCTCTTATGTTTCAGGTCCAGTTGTGAGCACCTCTTCATATAAGTTGGTATCTTATGTTTCAGGTCCAGTTGTGAGCACCTCTTCATATTAGTTGGTCTCTTATGTTTCAGGTCCAGTTGTGAGCACCACTTCATATTAGTTGGTCTCTTATGTTTCAGGTCCAGTTGTGAGCACCTTTTTCATATTAGTTGGTCTCTTATGTTTCAGTTCCAGTTGTGAGCACCTCTTCATATTAGGTGGTCTCTTATGTTTCAGGTCCAGTTGTGAGCATCTCTTCATATTAGTAGGTCTCTTATGTTTCAGGTCCAGTTGTGAGCACCTCTTCATATTAGTTGGTCTCTTATGTTTCAGGTCCAGTTGTGAGCACCACTTCATATTAGTTGGTCTCTAATTTTTCAGCTCCAGTTGTGACTCACCTTTACAGATGAAAAAATGAGTTGGTCTCTATAGTGATGTAGCTTCAGTTGTGACGCATCACTTCCTACTGTTATGAGCTGATTTGTTTTATGATTAATATCCAGTTGAGACGCATCACATAGACAAAGCAGATTATTTTCAGAGACTTAATCATTTTATTTTTTTTCAATATTATGGTTTAAATTCGGCGCTTCTAAAACTCCAAATAATTTCTATAGTCAGTGACTTTTACTGAATGTAAACATATTGTAGGTATTACCTAGACGACCAAGGTGCCTGGACATGGGTGACACATTGCAACTGTCCGTGGTCACGTGGGCTCCATTCTAAGAAAGCCATGCTATGCTGGACTTTCCCTGTGAAGAATGTGGTCAGTAAATATAGGGATGCATTTTGCTGGTCCGAATGTTCCGAGTAGTGGAGAAAGGCTTAGTGGTTAAAGCATTGGCTCGTCACACCTAGGGCCGGTTCGATTCCCCGCACGTGTACAATGTGTAAACCCATTTCTGGTGTTCCCCATCGTAATAATTCAGGATTATTACTAAAGGCGGCGTAAAACCGAGGCAAGAGTGTCCTCTAGCCTATATCAAAGCCATAGGTAGGCTTTGATGTAAGCTGGTGGACACGCTTGCCTTGGGAAGATGCGCAAAACCATACCCACTCACTCACAGATTTAACCATAGGAATACGTAGCTCTACAAAAAAACAACAGCTAAACATATTCGTTGGATATATGGTTGTCTGTCACACAGACCCTGAAACAAATATTTCCAATAAAGCCCGTGCAAATCCATAATAGTTGACAAGTCTAGATCACTGCGGTTTCAGGAAAAACAGTATCTCGGCTACTTTTTATTATATTGTATTGATATGGTATAACGTTTTTTGCTGAAAGCAGATGTCAATGGAGATAAATGGGTCAATATTTGTTCTACAGAGCTACGTATTCCTGTGATTTAACTACAATAAGTCAACTCACTCTTTCACTCAGAGCATTCCGAAAGAAAGCTTAATCATCTACATGGCGATGCACCCACCGCCCATTTTCATGCTCAGCCACGATCCAGAGCTGTTATAAAGACACTTTTAAACTCTAACGTTTCCCAATAATTGTTACTCTACAAGGGCCCAAGTCGTGTACGGTTCTGTACTGAATTAGATCTATAGTGCTGTGAAGTCTCTAGCTACATCAAATGTAGTCCTGTGCCATGACTGTGGAATTTTTATACTGAAGTTTAGTTCATGCGAGCAAACTGGACACGCATTATTTCGCATTTAATTCACACTCGCGTTAATTTCAAGTGTATACATATATGTATATTTCTTATAGCCTAGGCAAGTCTAGATCAAACTATACCAAATTAATCTAGTTACCTTGATTCCACATATGAAAATAGCATACGAGGGAAAGGTTCTTTTGAAAAAAAATATTTTAAAGACTTGTTTTCAAAGATTAAATTTTAATCTACGTCAAATGATTTGGTATTGAATATGCAACAACATTTTATGCTGATAGAACATTTAATAATAAATGTCCATAATATATTTATGATCTTATAAATAACTTGCTCTTTAAGATTTCCCTAATGACCTAGTCTGTAATGCATATTGATCGCTTTACTAGTCGGGATATTGTAACATGAGGACAAGATGGTTTTGAGAGAATTCTACCGCATTCACGCACTACCCTCGTTCATGTTCAAACTTCTTTTTTAGCGGTAATCAAGGGCGGGTAACTCTGATAACAAATAAAAGCGCTAAGCTTGTGTCGCGAACCCACTCTCCTACCCAGAGTTCCATGCGGCCGGCAGCCAGCTAGCATAGTACTATATATTCAATACCAAATCATTTGACGTAGATTAAAATTTAATCTTTGAAAACAAGTCGCAGTGGTGAAATTAACGCGAGTGTGAATTTGAGTGTTATGCTGAGTCACCACTGCGACGGAGTGTGTCGCGAACCAACACTCGAACCAGTTTAGATATCATAGTTCAGAGCTCCTCGAACGGCTATCACTGTGGGGAGCTTAGTGGCGGTCGATCCAAATCGGTCTGAAATATTGAACCAAAACAATAATGGCTAGGTTAAAAGTGACCCCACGTAAGAAAAAACCTGTCGTTACCAAGAAAACCAGCTCTGAAAGCGAAGCTCAAAGCGGACCTTCCAGAAAAAGCATCCAAGGACGGCGACAGTCGACACTTCCACTCGCCGGCCGCCGACAAAGTTTACAGAAAGGTTTGGGCGAAATGACTGCCACAAGCACGGATACTAATGAAAGAGGTTTGAGAATAATGAGATGCATATTTACAGCCTCACGTTTGTCTTATAATGACGTGTTTATGTTGTGTCATGTGTGATCGTTTATGTAGAGTGTCAAATAATACTAGTAAAGTGTGCAATAAATGTGGAAGGTTGCATTGCTCATAGTATCAGTCACTGGATATGTACAGGCTGCTATCATATAAGTTATAATATTTCTGAGTGCGGTGTGAAACAACAACTCTAAATATAGTATTAAGTAGGGCTTGGATGTGTAACTCAGGTACACGGGTCGGGTGGGTACTGAGGAGGACCTGGGTACCCACAGGACTACCCGGACCCGTGGTTAGTCACTTGATATATTGTTTAAAGACAAAAATTATCTAGAACTCTATGTGGTTATGTTCGCATTTCTTTCTGACCCATTCCTTCTGAATTTTGTATGTTTACATAAAGATAAAACTTTAGTAAACTTCAGTCAGTGTATGCATAACCTGATTGTCTTATACCCGAATGAAAATAATTTTTGCCAGGGCTACAGTCAAACTTTTCCCAATCGGAGAGTTTGTACCTATCTCTTGAGACCTACAGTTGGTACCCGGGTAGGTTCGGGTAATAGGGGGTTGGGTACCCAGGTAGTAAATTTGGACTCGTCCCAGCCCAAGGATTAAGTGTCCATGGTTTCGGTGAACAACATCAGTGTCTGTCTGGCTAAGACGGTGCAGTTTGTTGATGTTATTATTGCACAATTAAGCCAGGAGTGTGAAGATAAATCTGATAGGAAGAAAGTTGTTTTATTTTAAAACCATTTGGCTGAACTCACCGACTTACTTTTCAGAGAGCCGTTCAGTGCCAGTGAGGCTGAGAGTGGCGCCGAAATCACTGAAGGCCTGGAAGCCCCTGAGGACTTCCACGAAGAAATATGCCCTGCAACTGTATGACACTGTTGTTGAGTAAGTGACTTCCACATTATACAAGAATATACAATGGGTTATAGTTGAAACACGACTCTGAGGTTTTGCTTGAAAATGTAACACCACAGGCTTTTCCCTTGCTCGAGGTTTACATTTGCAACCAAAACTTAGGAGTGCTGAGACTAACTAATGAGCTGTCTAAATGACAGAAATACCAGAAAGAAAAGAAAACATTGGGATACCGTTATACACATGTTATGGTGAAATAATACTGTTGTCATGGGATGAAACAAATTTAATGACAGCGGAGGAAAGAAAGACCATTGCAGCATGCAGACATGAGTCGGTGACATGTAAGATTGAAGACCCTTTCATCACCTGCCTGGGGGCACAGGTGGCCCAGTCGTCTAATGCGCAACGATTCGCTGTGCAGAGTTGCGTCCCTTGGGCACGCCAGAAACCTATGGTTGTGGTTCGCCACGATTATGTTTCTAGGTTTCACCAAATTGGTAAACCTCGTCCTCCCACATTAAGCTGACACAACGTGATATAACTGGAATACTGTTAAAAGCAGCGTTAAGCCGTATTCTCTCACTCACTCACTCTTTAGTCTTTCATACTCCAAATCTGTTTCACATCTAATATATCTATCAGAGTACGGGCGGTCAGGTGGTTAAAGCGTTCGCTCGTCACGTCAAAGACCCGAGTTCGATTCCCGACATGGGTACAATGTGTGAAGCCCATTTCTGGTGTCCCCCGCTGTGATATTGCTCAAATATTGCTACAAGCGGCGTAAAACCATACTCACTCACTCTATCAGAGTACAATGTTGCATACAAATACCTTTATTAATTTTGTTTTTCAGAATGTTGCTATCAAGAACAAGTGACAATGTTTTAGGAGATGTGCAAAGACATCTGTCTCATGGCCGCAGAAAGTAAGACTCAGTAGTGAAATTAATTCACTCAGATATTTTACTCGATATCCCGCTGCATCATAAACTGGCAAACCATCCCTAGAAGTTAAAACCCAGGAAGATCTGGGATAGAATACGTCTTCAGAAACCCATGCTTGCCGTAAAAGGCGTCTATGCATGTTGTAAGAGGCTACTGATGGGATTGTGTGGTCAGGCTTGCTGACTTGGTTGAGGCATGTCATCAAATCCCAATAATGGATTGATGCTCATGATATCAATCACTGGACTGTCTGGTCCCGACTTGATTATTTACAGACCGCCGTCATATGGGTGGAATATTGCTGAGTGCGGCGTTAAACAACCAACCAACCAATCTATCATGTCTGTCGGCTGGTTGATGAATCTGATGTTTATGATATCATTTCTATGTTTGTGACAGGTTTGCGGACAAGCTGGAGAAGTCGACCGGTCCAGTGAACAACATCACAAACTACAATAATCTTCATAAAGTCCTTGTAAGCAAATCAATACAATAACCTCGATTTACTTTACAATGAAACCCCATTCGTCCTGAACGTTTGTTTGGAAACCTATTTTCTTTCTGGACATTCTTTGTTGCAGCATCTAGGAAGATAGCACTGTGTACTTCATTATATCTGGAAGTTTGGTTAATTCAGACTATTTGATGAAGAATGGTACCATCCTAATTAATTTATTATTAACTGTCCATGCTAGGGGTGTAACGGTTAGACAAAGTGGCGAATAGGGTATAATGGTTACAATTAATTATTTATGAATATATGCAACGCCAATGAAAAAACTATATTTTTAAACTTATCCTATATTGCACTATGCATTTCTGCCTTCTTCTTTCAATCCTTTGTAGAAACATGCTAAAACAATAATTTCCAGCTTCTAAAAACATTTTGCCCGAACACATCACCATAGTTACCACCCAAACAAATGGGATATGCACTGTAATCCTGTGTGTTGTGACCTTTCACGATATGCCAGCTGTCCCCTCACATGTTGCGGTCATCAAGCAACCTCCCACGTCTACTATGACTTCATTATCAGTAGAAGATGACAGTGTTTCTGACAGTTTCTTACATGAAGATGTTCCCGGCAGAACAAAACCGTTGCCTGTCCCCCTAGGATGGTTGAGCCTGCAGACAAGGACATCTGCACGATCATGACTAAGGACATCATACCGACAACGCTTATGACTATCCCTACTGTCAACCCTCCCAGCGCTCCCTGACCATCAGCCATGTGTCACCTTTCATGCCCCGCTCCTCCACGGAAACAGACTGCGCTGTCACAGACCACAGTTGCTCCCAAGTTAATGCCTGCAATTCTGGCTTCACTAGGGATCGATAATTAACATTTGACCTCTCCTTCACCTATGAACAGGTAGAACCGAGAATTTCATACCTGGCTGTATTCCATTAGGCAGAGATCCTCCGTGCAGTGCAACACATGATCAAGTTGGACAATCTGTCAGTCATCTTTGACATCAACAAAATGGGCTCCACCAAGTCCGGGGATCCCTCCTGTCTTTGGCTTTGGAATTCTTCCATCTGGTCTACTCCCTGAGCATCCAAGCGATGCACATTCCTGGGATCCACAATGTCATAGTCGACTCCCTATTCAGACCAGAACAACCATCGCCGACAGAATGGAGTCTCCATCCGATGATTTTTTGGTGGATTTGCCACCTCTACCCGAGCCCGGACTTCAACCTCTTCGCAACCAGGTTCAGCGCTCAGCTCTCAAGGTTTGTCTCTCAAATCCAGATCCTCAGGCATGGGACCTTGAACCTCAACGCCTGCACCTTTTCCCTGACAATACTTCTCACTCAGGTTCTTCAAAAGGTGGTGGGGCGGTCGGGTAGCCTGGTGGTTAAAGTGTTCGCTCGTCATGCCGAAGACCCGTGTTCGATTCCTGACATGGGTACAATGTGTGAAGCCCATTGCCCATTTCTGGTGTCCCCTGCCGTGATATTGCTGGAATATTGCTAAAAGTGACATAAAACCATACTCACTCACTCAAAAGTTGGTGACCACCAACCACCTTTGACTGCTTTTGGTCATGCCCTATTGGCCAGTTCGAAGTTGGTTCACAGTGCTGGTGAACATCGCAGGGCACTGAAGGACGATTTTCTACTCCAGCCTCACTCTCACCTACTGCACACGTCGCCCTAAACACTGAATCTCTGTGTATGGCTCATCTCCAGAAGTCACTTGTCGCCAAAGGGTATTTGAACAGAGTAGCCAAGACCATCACTGAGGCTCACAGCAACTCCACCAAGGCCTTACATGACCATTCGGAACTTCCTGTGACATCACCACATCGATCACTGCTGCTCCTCAACAGGTCGCCAAGTATCTACAGCATCTGAGATTGACTCGGAAACTTAACGGCTCCGCTCTGCCTACATATCTCTCTGAGCTCAACTATGTCATTGCCACTACAACCGGAGCGAAGATCTCTACGGTTGCTGAGCTACAGTCCCTCATTCGGTCATATCTTGTCGGCTGATAAGTCATCTTGATTCCGTCCTCCTACTTGGGATCTTAATGTCATCCTCCGACTTCTGCAGATTATGAACTGCTAGCAAAGAAGGATTTTGAGTTAGTCACCGTAGAGATGTTTTTTCTCCGAGCCCTTGCAACTGCTGCTAGAGTGAGTGAAATCAGTGCTCTTGAGAGTTTTAGAGACTACATAATGGGAAGGTCTGTGTGGAGCAACGATGTGATTTCATTATGAAGAATCAACTTCTGGGTCAACCAGACCGGCTGTCTACCATCCCATCATTGAATTATCTTGAACCCAGACGACCATGAAGACATCTCCTTATGTCCAGTAAGGGCCCTCCTCATCTACATCAAGGCTGTGACACTGCTCATACGCTCCCGAAAGAGACTCTCGATCCCACTTTCCACGGCTGCCACCATGGAAGTCCTCCTCACTGCAGCCTCCTTCATGCCTACGCTTTTGGTGGATTCCCTCCTCCTCTGACATCCACTCCACATTGGACAAGAGCCATTGCCTCTACCATGGCCTTGCATAGCTACTGCACCATGTCCGCCAACATGGAGGGTTGTTTTAGGAAGTCCAATGCTGTCTTTCTCTTCCCACTATCACTATCTCAGTCACCGACGTTCAGGTCCTGCTCCAATTTGGTCTGGGGTGGCCCAGTCGTCTAAGGCACCACGATTCACTGTGCAGAGTTGCACCCCTTGGGCACGCCAACAACCTATGATTGTGGGTTCGAATCCCGGTTCGCCCCCATTATGTTTCTAGGTTTGTCAGCACCATACTCGTGCTCGTGGGTTTCACCGAAGTGGTAAACGTCTGAGACCTGCATCACTTTAGGCTTTCCTCCCACATTTAGCTGAAATGCCGAGATATAATGGGAATACTGTTACAAGCGGTGTTAAACCCAACTCTTTCACTCACTCATTCACTCCAATTTGGTCCCTTGGCACTGGCGCAACAGTTGACAACTGCCCACCAGCACAGATAGATGATACCATGTACCAGCTCCTGCAACACAGTACTCCGTATCCAGTACATACTGAATAAATATTTGATCTCCCTCCTTTGTTTATTGTCATTGTTATTCAGGTTCCCAGATGGAGTGCCCAGTGGAGGGTAAAGGGACTCATTTGTGGAGATTATTTAGCACGAGCTTCCTCGTGTCTGTTGCATGGTTGCAGGCTATGGTATATCTGTGCCCCACCGTCCAACTATGGGATAAATGCATTGTGTGAGATTGTATAAGTTTAAAAATTTGAAAATTGATAAAATGAAAGTACCTGTATAAAAATATACAATTTTTTTATAAAATTTTCAATTATGGCCATGATTTGGTTATTTCTGTTAAAATTATAATGAAATTTTTGTACATGTGTAGTACTGAGATTCAAGACTTTTTTTTCTTGATATTGTAAAGTGTGGCCTTTGTATTTTGGCCATACTCCCAAATTCTCTTAAGATACATTTCTTTGAACTCTAAGCGACCCCCTCCGTGGTCTAGTGGTAGAGCGTCCGCCCGTAGAGCAGAAGGTCCGGGGTTCGATCCCCGGCCGCGTGATACCAAAAGACGTTAAAAGATGGTACTTGTTGTTACCCTGTCTGGCGTTCGGCATTAAGGGGCTAAAACAAGGACTGGTCGGCTCGGAGTCAGTATACTCTGTCTGAGTGGGGTATTCATGTTAAACTGCAGCATGGTATCTAAATGAACTAGCCATGCACGCACGCACGAATCCTCTCTCAGAAATGAGCTTGCACTATAAATCGGCATCAGTCCAGGCTAGTACAAGCAGTCACACAAACACACATACGTACATGCACTTCGCTATATAAGTGCAATAATCTTGGATGTGACGTTAAACCACATTTTACTCACCACCTCTGTTAAAATTATAATGAAATTTGGTACATGTGTAGTTAGTACTGAGACTCAACACTTTTTTTTCTTGATATTGTAAACTGTGGCCTTTGTATTTTGACCATACTACCAAACTCTCTTAAGATACATTTCCTCAAACTCTAAGCGGCCGCCTCCGTGGTCTAGTGGTAGAGCGGAAGGTCCGGGGTTCGATCCCCGGCCGTGCGATACTAAAAGACGTTAAAAGATGGTACTTGTTGTTACCCTGTCTGGCGCTCGTCATTAAGGGGTTAAAACAAGGACTGGTCGGCTCGGAGTCAGTATACTCTGTCTGAGTGGGGTATTCATGTTAAACTGCAGCATGGTATCTAAATGAACTAGCCATGCACGCACGCACGAATCCTCTCTCAGAAATCAGAAATCCTCAGGACCAATGAAGCTGAAACTTCAAACATTTTGTCCAAACCAATGATAAAACTTGAATTTGGTGAAGTGATAGACGCCAATTTTCAAATATGGCCATCATATAAAAATATATATGAAATGTAATACATGTATATGTAATGGAATTTGATATTTGTTAGTTTGTTGTGGGATGCTTCTATTTCTTTTTGCAATGTTATTTTTTTTGCCATGTTCTTAATTTCTCGCAAAATGCATAATTATATTCCGACTGTGAATGTAGGTCCCACCGTGTGAACTTAGATCTGACCATTTGACCTTAGATCCTACCATGTCAACGTAGATCCGATCATGTAAATGTGGACCCGACTGTTTGAACCTTCTGACAGTCTATTTTGGAGAATTTGATGAATTTGACTCATTCATTTGAGCCAATAACTGGCCATGTGTTTACAGTTTTTGTTTTTACAATTTTAGAACTCCCAAGAAGAGGCAGATGTGAAGATGGAGGAGACGCTGCAGAAGCAGATCGAGGAGGAGGAGAGGTAGGAAAAACTCAGTAGTGCCCTTCTCATTATTCAGCATCACCACAGGAATCTGATTTTAATAATGAAATCACTCGCTTTTTAACTATTAAGCACCTGTATTGAAACAGAAAAGGGAGGCTCCAGATTCAATTATTTACAGACCGATTTTATATAGCTGGAAAATTGTGAGTACCGCATTAAACAACAAACAAACAGCATGATAACACTTTTGCACTAACCAGAGAATACACATAAAGCCAATGAAATATACTACTCAAGACAAGTGAAAGCACACCCAAATTTTTCATATGACTATAGTTAATCTGTCACCCTCCAATTGGGGGTGTTCTGTAACTTGTTTGGAGTAGTATATTTCATTGATTTTATGTATTTAATCTCCGGGCAATCAAGTCTGTAAAGCAAAGTTTAGAAAAGTGTGGTCTCAGTATTGTACATTGAACTGTTGACAGGAAATGCAGGGACATCGAGGAGGAGATGGAGACGTGCAAGCTTTACGCTGGGGGAGCATCACAGGTGGGAGGTCAACATGTTCTCAAAGGCAGCCGTAGAAACATAACAGTTTCAGTCCACTAGTCCATATAAATGATAACACAAAGCAAAACCCTTAAAAAGGACAAATTTCTACTGGTTCTTATGATACCCTAACTATTGGGCAGTTTGGCATGGACTTTAGAACCAGTGCCACTTTCTAACGCTGCTTTGGACTATCTATTCCATTACTTACAGTCTTATCGGTAATTTATTTTACGTCGTGAAAATCAATCTTGCTTGAAAATTTGTGATGTTCATTCTACTTTTTAGATTCTACTTTTCAAACTTTATTGCTCATATATACACTGTAAACAGAATTTATGTACTTATCTACTGTGACAAACTCTTTTGTAAATAAGTACTGATACTTTCCAAAGCTTCATTGTTTATTTATGCACTGTAAACAATTTCATATAAAGTAATCGGTTGGGACAAACCCCTGTGGACAAGAAATGATCTTTTTAGTATGATCTGCTCTATTTTTTTACCATTGTTAGTTTTATATACTCTGTTATCATCTGGCGCTCAATCGTTACTATGGATACCGATTAATGATTAATGTATAATGGGCCGGTGGCCCCCTTACGAAATAAAGTCATTCATTCATTCTACATGAATCTTGCGTAACCCAACTCGTCCTCTCTCTATCCTTGATCAAGCTATCATTATCAAGCACTGGTCCCAAGACATGATTACTTACAGCCTGCCCTGACAGCTTTAGCATTGCTGTGTTGGCATTGAAGTTGATTCCTTCACTCGCTCCCCAATGTGACAATCCATGCATGTGAACTTTCTTTTTCAGCTCCATCCCCTCCTGCAGAGCCGAAGTAAGGACTGAAGGAAGACTACAGCACTTGTCTCTCTGACAGACAAGACTTGCGCTCCATCACTAGTCACTGACCTCTTCTGGCCAGAATGTCTTGATGTTTTGAGCTAATATTGGGGTCTTAGAAACAAGCCTAAGCAAGTTCTTTCCCATAGGGGAATTAAAATAAATATGTTAATATCCTTTCGGCCTCCAGCCCTTCACGCAAACCCAACAAATATATCTGATGAAGGCCAGGAGGCTGAAAACTTGAAATTATGTATAAGTACATATAATGTCCCAAGCTCATTCCCAGCGCGGGACACCTTCGTTACACTCTCGTTAACATCGCTGCCACCAGTGTGGGCGCAGCCATCTTGAAATTTGCCCTCTAACCCCAAATGTAGTAACGTTTATAGTTTTGGGAATGCCATCACAGTGAGTTTTGAAAATGTTTAAGACTGACCATATTTCCCAGATGAATTAACCTTATTGTTTGTTTAATCGGCTTGGTTCGAGATTGCAGGTGAACAGAAAATCAACCAACTTCTCCCATACATTCTTACTATACCAATTACATGATAGTTGTACTGAAACAGAAAGTCAAATTTACAATCAAAGAAAATAATTTTCCAGGGGGGGGAGAGTATTCAGTGTCACGGCAGTCATCACTTGTTTGTAAACATAACAGTCGGTTGCGAGTTCAACTCCAAGCATGGTTGTAGACACCTATCACAGTGGGGAGCTTTCACTGGTGGCAGCGATAGAATGGAGAGCTCTGGATTGGGATGTTGCTGCAAGGAGCTTGATAATGTCAGTGAAATAAACCTTGTGTACATACTTCTAAATTAGCCGAAGTAAATGAAAGTAGGTTTGAACATGACGGTCTTGATTTATGAAACTTGATTAAACCTGCTCCACGTAGAAAGAAATATTAGGTTGCATTTTTCAAAAATAGGTTGCACTGGTGCATGTTTTGTGTAGCTTAATTGAGCCTTTTACTTGCAATGTGAACCATTGAATCTTTGACAAGTGGAGAAAAATATGTTTTCCAATCACAAATGAAGACACCAGCTCAGACAATATATTATTGAAATGACACAATAAATTGACTGACCTTTTGAACAATAGACATTATTTTCAAGTACTTGCATGTGTGTTTATATGTCGCAAATACTTGAAAATTTTTTTTGTCTATTGTTCCTGCCACAGGCAGTTTAATGTGTCCTCCCAATAATATAGACAGTGTGTTGATGTGACATTGCAACAGACCCATGAAGAGCTGGGTTAGAATAGGTCTTCAGCAGCCCATGCTTGCCGTAAAGGTGACTATGCTTCTTGTAAGAGGCCACGTGTCAGCCTCGCTGACTTGGTTGATACATGTCATCATATCGCAATTGCATAGATCAATGCTCATGATGTCAATCACTGGATTGTCTTGTCCAGACTCGATTATTTACAGACTGCCGTCATATGCATGGAATAGTGCTGAGTGCGGTGTTAAACAACAAACAGACAACAAACAAACATTGCGTCGCTTTGTAAACAATAAAACTGATAGTGTGAACTGGACAACATAGACAAAGAAATACAATGTTCATATTAAGTAAGAATTACTGAAACAATTTTCACCTATAATGAGGAATCAGTATAATTTGTGAACTGTTACTGACATCTTGGTCGTGAAAACAAAACTTCATACATCCCATGACTGTGCATCCGTTTGCTGATTCTGGGTTTGAATCCAAGATGCGTCCAGAGTATGTACCTAGGTCTATCTCCATAAACAAGAGGGTAAAGGAATTGCTACTCAAAGTGGCATTAACCCAACTCAGTTCTTGTATTGCCATATTTGCCATGATTATTATTCTTGGTTTGCCAGCCGCACACCTGTTGTCATGGGCTTCACAACAGTGATCATCTTCCCGAGGCAAGGGAGTTAACTGACTATAAAAGTCCAGTTTCAACCCTTGCCGAACTAAGCTGGATTTATGGAGTTATATTTTGGCTGGACTAACGAGTAAATTCATAGTCCAATTAAAATCGCGTAACGAAATCGACATCCGGTTTGTAAACTGGCATGCAGATTTCGGTCAATTGCAAGATTTGCAAAGCATGTGTGCTGTCAACTCCGAAAGATATTTTTTTCCAAATCGTCATGTCTTAATGAAGCTGTTCGCGTAGTTAATGCACTTCACGAAGTAAGACCCGTTTCATTACAGTATCAATTAAGATGATGATAATCTTCACTGGGCGCCACCATTTTGTTTGAAGCAAACGCAAGTGATATGAGAGGTGGAATCTGATTGGTCAATAGGAGGGACATAACTCGTAATAGCCACTGGCGGTGCTCCGATCGAACCCGGAAATTCCAGGCCAGTTCAGCAAGGGTTGAAACTGGACTGTTACAGTCATGCTAGTGTGGGCAAGGGACACAACTCTGCACAGCGAATTGCAGCGCCTACAATGACTGAGCCACCGGTGTCCCCACTGGACTAAACTGAACTTTATTTCATAGCATGTTCAGGTTAACAGGGATCAATAATACACATTCATGCACATACATGTCGGCATTATGTACAATCATAACTTAAAGACATTTATAATAAACTCATGGACGAAAGAAACGCAACAAAAACAATTTTCTGGTCTAAAACAAAACAGACGCAAAATTTAGTAACAGTTAAAACAATTATTCATTTGTAAATGACAAGATCAAAAACCATGTACCTAAAAGTTCTGCAGACACGTTTATCATGCTGGGTGCACTGTCCAGTATTCGATCACACCCGCAGAGTCGACGTCGATCTCTTAACGTCCCGTGTTACACACATGGCTCAATATCGGATGTGTCGATGCAGGCCCTAACACGACGTCGAGCTGAGTACACGAGTCTCCTGACATCCTGATTAGGGATCCTACGCCATTCTTCCTGCAGGGCAATTGCAAAGGCATCCGTCGTCAATGGCGGATGTTGACGTTTCCGAATCCTGCGTCCAAGCTGCTCCCACAGGTGAACAATTCTTTTACTTTTTACATGTCATTGTAAACATGTACAGGGGAATGATGGTAACTCTTTAACATCTTAATTTTTTTCCTGTTTTCTCTTGCAGTCAGCGCTCACAAATGTTATAAAAATAATTCAATTTGATCAACTACATGAAGCAAAATGGTCGATTGGAAAAGTTTTAGAGTGAGATAATATGTAAGGAATCTGATTTATGGATTGCCTACTTTCATATAGACAAGTCATGTTGAGCTCGGTGGGGCACTTGAAGGAGTGAGTGAGTGAGTGAGTATGGTTTTACGCCGCTTTTATCAATATTCCAGCAATATCACGGCGGGGGACACCAGAAATGGGCTTCACACATTGTACCCATGTCGGGAATCGAACTCGGGTCTTCGGCGTGACGAACGAACGCTTTAACCACTTGGCTACCCGACCGCCCCGCACTTGAAGGAGCCCATGATCCCTGCAACGTGCTCCTGCGTCGCTCCCATTTGCAAACTAACGATGACTCTCTCCCTTTTGCTCTGTGGTTAGTCGCGGCATGTTCGTTGTTTTAAACGGTTTCATGTGATGATAGAGTACAATCCTACTCATGTTTTATACCAAAATTTCATACGGATAACTTTGTACACATTTTGCATTTTATAAGTGATTAAATTCACTTTTCTCGCAAATCACGTGAAGCACGTGCACATGTTTACAAGGAATAGGTAAGTTGCATTCCAGCTACTGTTTTCGTGCTGTTTGGCAAATTTGTTGAAAACTGACGACCATTATTTAGTTGGTGGCGTTTCTTTTGCCCGCTAGTTTAGATTAACAGAAAATTGATAACTTCGTCATGGTAAGTGTATCATTTCAACTGGTATTTTGGCCGATACCATGATGTATTTTTACATGTATATTTTTATGTAATAGTTATGTATATATGTATGTAATTAAAAAAAAAATTTGAAAATACTAAACTAAAATAAAAAAAAAACTGAAATAAAAGTGACACTGAATTTAATTCACGTACTTCATTTATAGTGCCTGCAATAAAACGGGACGCGTGAAGATCTGGGTTAGAATTGGTCTTCAGCAACCCATGTTTCTCGTAAGAGGCGACAAAGGGATCGGGTGGTCAGGCTCGCTGACTTGGTTGATGCATGTCATTACTTGGGTTGTCTTGTCCAGACTCGATTATTTACAGACCGCTGGAATATTTGTGAGTGTGGCGTAAAACAACAAACCGACAAACAATCAGCAACAAGACGGTGTCCGTACTGTAGCAGTTTAGTCTTGTTTTCACTATATCCCGCCAGATTCACCCAACCACAGCAGATATCGGGGACATCAAATTATCAGATTCACCCAACCACAGCAGATATCGGAACATCAAATTATCAGATTCACCCAACCACAGCAGATACCGGGACATCGAATTATCAGATTCACCCAACCACAGCATATACCGGAACATCGACTTATCAGATTCACCCAACCACAGCAGATATCGGGACATCCACTTATCAGATTCACCCAACCACAGCAGATATCGGGACATCAAATGATCAGATTCACCCAACCACAGCAGATCCCAGGACATCGTATTACTCTCAGATTCACCAAACCACAGCATATACCGGGACATCGAGTTATCAGATTCACCCATGGTACCGGGTCATCGAATCTTTCTTTGCCTTTGGGAGCCATGTCCGTTAGATCAGCCGTCAGCTGATTGACTGTATCATCTTGTATTTATAAGTAGAGGAAATGATATGAACGTTCATGTAATACCATGTTTACGACACGAGTGTCTAAATATGATTTTTATAAACCCTGATATGTTTGCCCTCGGAGATAATAAACATTTATCATCCAAAACTGGCCCCCACAGGAGATATCGCTTGGGTGCTTTGCAGACCATTGTGACGTCATTGGCTACCAAACGTCACAATCAAATTACATCACTAATGGCTCTGCTACTGAAGTTGTTAGCAGTACTTTTTACACTTAAGACACTGCTAATTACTGTCTACAAACTGAAAAAGTTGGAAGAATGATGTTGAATGATAAATAAAATCTCACCCAAGTGTCTTTTGATATCAAATATATCAACACGAGTTGATAAAAGTGGAAAAACTCCGAGGCTTGCCGAGAAGCTTTTCCACTTTTATCAACGATATATTCTCTATATTTATTACCTCTTAGGAGG